CAGCAGAGCATCCTAAAGTTTTCAAGAGGATGACAAATTATCTATAGCCCAACACTTTAATAGCAATCTAATTTCAAAACCATACAAGTTACTCTGGACCAAAAGCAATTATATATTTCAGGAACTGTACACTGAATTTCAGTTCAGCACTGGCATCACAGCTGGAATACTGAGAGCAATGGGATCAAAAGCACACCCAAAACATTTGTAACAGATTAGCAGCTGGGCTGGTTGTTAAAGGAAACCAGAGCAGCTTTGTTTAAAAGCTCATGATGCGATGTAGAATGTGTGGCACAGACCAGCTGTGGATTTGCAGATGGTGAACATGACCTAACCATTTTTGAAAGAGATGGTTCCATTTTCACATGGGAGCAGTGCTGACTGACTGCTGAGCTCACCCCTTGGCTAAACCTTAGCCAGGGGTGGGAGGGAGTTAGAGGGTACACGACTCTTGTCTGATGAATCTCTGGAAAAACCACCACCCTCAAATTAAGTCTTCTTGCAGGCACAATGGTTGTTCCAGCCAAATTCACTGCCCGATGCTCTCTATCAATGGCCTCACACAGCTGCACTGCTACCAAGGCACCAGTTCAGAAATAGGAAGAAGCAATTAGGGCAAGCAGGAGTTGCCTAAACTGGACCTGTCACCAAGACAAACACTTAGCAATGCAGTAACTGTCAATCTGTCTAAAGGAAGCTTAATTGGAATGTCACATTCTACAGTGGATTACAGAAGTTTAGGGAAAAAAGGTTCTCTTATTAATGGACCCATCTCAGTAAATAATGTCCATGTCACAAGCATTACATCAAAGGGAGCTGGAGCTGCCAACACACTCACACTGGTGAATTGATTTCAGTTTAACTCACTATTTAAAATGCAGGTTTGCTTCCTAACAAAAACCTTGAAAGACCAATATACAAGTTCAGGATGCAAACTGAATACAAGAGTTTTGAACACTGATGCCATCCCTGTAAATTTAACAAGGCCCCTCTAACATATGCATCAAAAAGTTCCAAAACCCACACACGTACAGGCTGCATATTTTTTTCCTAGGGAAACAGCTAAAGGAATAGAATATGGAGTAGCCTGCCCTTTTTATTTAAACATACCACTAAGAGTGAAAAAAGCCATGAAAGAAAGATAACAAAAAGGTCTAATTTGCACAATTTATTTGCATTATTTGCTAAAACTGATGTACATTATCTGATGGAATGGAAATTAATTGTCAAGTAGGTTTGGAGAGACAGGCTATGAAACAAGAACAAGTCCAAAGAATAGAGGTAAATCAGGATGTGACTTGATACAGCTGGTGAAAGTTGAAGCATGTCCCAGGTCACACATGCCTCCTCTTTCTTAGACACAGTGTTCAGACAAAAAAATTATCTTTTGCAAAGCTGAAACGGTCAAAAGACAGCTGAGTGATGTGACAGGACCTCACAAGAGCTGTTAAGAGCACAGAAGGCTATGGACATCCCTCTGCATCCAAAGGATACTATCTCACACAGTAGTCTTACTGCAAGTCAAACAAAACAAACAACAGAATCCAGTTCTATAATGTCTCATGTTTTCCATTGTTTCATGCATACTACTGAAGTAGAAACCCTTTAATTTAAAAACCAAAACTCCACATAGTATGCCCTTTTCTCAAACATTAACTAAAAAAATGTATTACTTAATCACCAAGTGGCACTGGAAATATCAGTTCCATCTCATGTGACTGAATAAAACATTAGGAAAGATGACAAAACCAAGCTGGCTGAAAATGTGGTTAGAGAATTTGACCAAGTTTTCCTTATTCTTTTAGATTAGTCATTAGTGAAAAAAAAAACAACCAAACACGTGGCTGTCTGCAGCAACTATTGCACTGGTACTTCCCCCCTTGTTTGCTTCAATTTACAAGACTACTAAGGAAAAGAAATAATGCTGAATCCTCAACAAGTGGAAAGCTTTCTCATGCATAAGCAGTCTGTAAGCTTTGCTGTTAAAGCAGACAATTTTCCACTGGTCTCTGATTACC